TCCTATGGAAACTCGCATCACCCTAGCTAGCCTATCAACTATTGTGATGTTAAAATAATCATGGTACAATCAGAGACGGGAAACTTAACAAACTTTCTCAAGAGATTTATTACTTTCTTTATTAATCTATTCTCTTGACATTTTTAGATTCATGCGTCTTTGTATTTACATGTATCTATCTATCAGTCAGAAAAATTTGTCCTCTGTTACTTGAATATTAATTGCTGGCGCGACAAATAACTTAGCAAGTTGTACAGCGCTCATAACTAATTATTTGAGCATCGAGAAAATTTTTCCGCTTCTTTCAGCGGCGAATTGGGTGGTGATTCTAAGCTTTTCACGCTTGAAACAGAATTTTGTTTGTTGTTTTATGAGTAATTGTTGTTGTAAATGTAAGCTTCTAGAAATCTCCAGATACTGACATGCCTATCATAGAACTTTCTGGAACATTTCATCAAGTCACGGAGTTATCATGTAGTACTACTAAAATAGTTCTTTTGTGAGCTTCTGGAATATTCCAGAACGTTTTATGGATGTAACTATATTGAGTAGTAGAGTTAGTTGTTGTTGATGTCGTCGGAGTGATGACTCTTTGGAAGGCTACATCATGAGAGAGAGCTACAGAGGAAGATTGCTAATTTCAAGAAACGTTGGGGAAAACCGTGAGTTTGGGTTAGTGGTGACCTAAGATGCAGACTTTAGTGGGCTTAATTAAGTTTTTTAACGATAAGTATTGTACTGTCTTTAGGAGATACTCTTTACTCTTTGTTTAACGAAGAAGTTGAGTTTGTAGGATTGCAGTGTTTTTCTGTCGGTTAGATTATACCGTCACATTGGGGTTGCATATTATGCGCATACCAAAAAAACAACAACATTTCTTGGAAAGCTGTTGTCGTAATCAGACACTCGCTTGACCATCGGTTTGAAAAAGGTATAAGGTGACAGTTCTCTTGAAAACTGTTAACAGTAATCTATAGAACTATAACCTTTTGTAACTGAGCTACCCTAGTGAACTGTATCAAATCAGTAGTTGCGCTAGAAAAAATTAAAGCTAAAGACGTGAGCAGGACTTTTTTCAAAGAGGTTTCGAAAGCAGCGTTGACAAATAAAAAAACTGAGTAATTCTTCAGTTGCAGGATACGCTCTGGAATTTCCGCGAAAAGGAACCAGTGATTAGGTCATCATCACACGTAGTATGCCAAACTTGTCGGCTGTGAGGGTTTGTCTGTGGATGAAAACCGCTGATACTGGAAATGAAGGAACACTCCTGAGCTATGCTGTATCTGGAGGAAGCAACGAGCTTCTCCTGGTTGACTATAGAAATTTTGACGTTTTCATCAACAACCATAGGAGGTTTGAGTATTTCATCTGAAGTTTTGTCCTGTTATTAATCACAATAGTTGTTTTGATTTAATGTTGCTATAAGCTTTAAGATACTCAAAGTATACTTGTCGCGTTTTGCTGCTAATTTTAGTGGTCATACTTCTGTATCCGCCAATGATGGAAAGTGGCATCATATCTGCCTCACATGGGA